CTTGCTTATGCGGACGTCTTGGTGTTGTCATCCTTCTTTTAAAGGCGTTTATTGCATTTTCTTTTCTATGGAACAGTAAGGGGCCTGTCAATTTTAATTTCGATCCAAATTAAATGCAGAATAAACCGAACGGAAAAACGATCTAGTGTAGCATTTGTAAGACGTTTGAACCCAGACAGGGTTAGTGGATTAGTTTATGGTGTCGCATTGGGGGGAAAACGAAACACCACAATAATTAGCATCCAGACGCAGTTTTATCATATGAAGAATCATAAAATGTATAATATGTATTATAGTTATTTTACTAAATCACTGAATATGGTACCTAACTAAATAAATTTCAAATAAGTACGAAAGTTAAAATCCAGAGCGTCAATTCTACAGCAAAAATAGATTTCACCTGCTTAATGCCCAGTACGAATCACAATGTTGAATAAATTATAAAAAAAGGTGTGCGGTACGAAACACATTGTCTAATTAGTACTTTTATTGCCTTCGGTGCGAATCACACAACACCCCCTATATGGTATCAAATATAATCTTTCTGTTAACAAGGTAGGCAGGTACCTAGGTACTGTTTCAACCGAAAATTTTGTTCATTTTAAATGAAATGGAATATTTTTCCAAAAATAAAGTACGTAACTAAGTATAACCAAGCTTGTAACTAGTAAAAGTCATTTAAAGAGGAAAAAAATTATAAAAGAATCCAATATAAAGAAAAGAGCAACAGAGAGACTCCAATATCTATAGCTTCAGTCTCCTGTATCATTACCGTAATGATCTTTTTTTTAAAAGAAATCGCATAAAATATAATATTGCTTTCTCGATTTTATGAAATACAACATATAATCGGTCTATGGGCCAGTCATCATTCCGCAATAATAACCACGGTAGCCTGGAAATCACGCAAAAGATTGGTTTTACAAAACCTTCCTTCTGTCCCGACTCGACCGTATAATCAAGAAACTCAGATGTTCGTCGTTCTAAAAAATAATTGGATTGCGAAAGACGAGCTATCCTCTTCTTCGGCCCTGTGTACGTGAACTGGCGACCGATACCGACATTACCGGGTGACTGCCAATGTCGATTGTGCAACTCATTTAGTTTATCTGAAAAACGATGGGGAAAACGGCCGGTAAATGATCGGATTTTTATTACTGGCAACAGATAGTGAAAACAATGTTTCTTGAATTTGGGATATTTCTTGAAATAGAATTGGATAAAAGTGAAAAGGGTAGTGATATGTACGTTTCGTCGGCATAAGCAAAACAAGGCTTTCTATAGAAGGTCTAAGCAATTATTTCAAAATGATTTAGGCTCAATTAAAAAAAAAAATGGTACCTATATTACATTATTATTTACATATAATATAATGGTATTTTTAACATTATTAATATATCAACACTTATTTATAATATACACAAGACACAAGACAAGGATTATCATAAGTATCAGTAAATCCAATCCAATTGCCTGCAAATATTTTGGAAATTTACCTATTTTTCCAATTTCTTATAGCTTAAGTCCAGCAAGACTTGTGGTCAATTAACAGACACATCCAATTTTGTCAAAAAATACTTTAGGCTGAAACATCAGAATATCCTCCTTCAAATCTTCATTAAAAGACATTAATTTAATTTTGTATGCAGCTGCAAGAATGAGAATTAATCCAACTGACAAATGACGTGCTACAGGATGGAATGTTTCCGAATAATCAATAATCAAGTCCTTCTATTTGTTCAAAACTAGCTACAAGTTTGGCCCTAAATTTGCAATCTTGTTTTTGACGTAGAATCCAGCGACAAGTTGAAGGCCTTTACATTCTTTATTGGTTCAGTCAAGTCCCATATCTTCATTTTTATCAATGAGGGAAACTCTTCAGTCATAGCGTTATTCCAATTTACATCCCTATTAACTACATCTGGAACAGAAATAACCTCCAATTCTCAAATCATTGTATTTTATATCAATTTTTCCAAAATTCCCTTTTTTGTTTTCTTTTCGGTTTATGCCCCTCTATAAAATTCAATCAAAATGGAGCAGTCATTGATGTGGGGTAGCGCAATCTTCATACCACATATATTTACTAATTCTGCTCAGAGTGTGTTTTACATAAGCAGTAAAAGACTATAATAACAGTAATGAATGCACGACGATTTGAATTTTCATATTTCTTATTTACTCTATTCTGAATTTCCAGACCAATTGGTTTTGGTACACTCCTTAACAAAATGACCTTTCTGATCACAACAATCACAGGCTTATGATAAGTTAGGTAAATATTTGATACCTACTTAGTACTTAGTGCATCTTTACAGAATTTCTTAACATGACCTTTCTTTTCTCACCACATTTGAAACGTTGTAGACTTACTTGCTCCAGCATGTGGTTTTCCAAATTTGTGAGTGTTGTGAAAGAAAGGTATTTGAAGACACTAATTGACTTTGATTTACTTGCTGACATCCTTCCAATCTGTCCTCATCCGACCTGACAATCATGTCAAACAGTTTATTCACATTCTTATCTGCCCCCCTAAAATTATTCCATGCAACTGCATGGCTAAAATGATGCAATTTAGGTGGCAACATTCCCATTCTAGTCATAATTCAACTTTCTTTGATTTGTTCTCCTTCGGCCTCCATATCTTACGCAAATTGTTGAAGTGTCACACGATTTTCAATTACTGACTCACTTGAATCATATCTTGAGTCAAAAAAACGATTTATTGCCATACAAAATATCTAGTCGATTTAGCATGTGATAGAATGAATTGCAATTCCATTGAGTTTGATTTAATTGAATCCATGATTTTTATCAAAATTGTCTTTACCTTACAATATTCAATTGGTTAATTTCACAAAATTATACTAATAGAACTGTACTAATAAAACATTTCCTAATGAGGGATGATAGATTAAAATATCTCTGAATTTGACTGAATTAAAAAATGCACACAATTATTGTAACTGACAAGATTTTAAACACAAACAAAATACCTGACTTCCTGACTTGCTATTGACTTACTAGATAACAATCCACAATGTTTTACTTACTCAGCCACCCTGTGCCCATAACCTGATGGTAATTGAAATTAATTCAATCTAGTGCCTACATAACAGTGAAAGAACATTCATATTCTCAGAATATTCCCTCAAAGTGCTTTTTGAAATGTTCTTTTAGGAATGTTTTATGAATATTCTAAGATTGTTTCGATTGAAATATTCATTTTTGAACGTTCTATTTATGTACTAGGAATGTTGCTTCTATGTACCTACCTGAAAGATTATGCTGAGAATCTACTTCATGAAACATTATTTGAATATTGTCATACGAACATTATTATAATGTACCCTAAAAAATGTTCTTTCGGCTAATATCTCTATCAAGTATTAAGAATATACCTACCAAGTTGTGCTGAGAGGTTTATGTAGGTAGGTAACCATGATAAGATTATTTTCATATTGTCCACTTAATTATCTAAAGTACCTACTCAAAAATCTCAATTGAACAATTAAACAATAATGCTCTATCTAGAACCTACTAAAAATATTATAGGTATATTCTTTTTCTTTTGCTTTGTAGGACTTCCAAGAGAGGGAGCCTCGCGCTATTAAAGATCTACATCTTGCCTAGCGTTTGAATCACCTGGGAACCTATTTCTCTCAGTTGGCGTGCTTACCGCGACGAGAGCATAACAAGCTCGAAACCGGAGCTTTGGTTATACGCTTGTGTTTTCCAGAGAAATTTTCGAACAACTCTTTCACTGCCTTTATCATAAAAGGACTGAAAGGACCATTATTTGGAAGCGAAAATTAACATTCCAAGTATATCCCTAGAATCAAATAAGAATGTTACGTCTAGGATGCATATTGAGAATGATATATGTAGATATATTCTAAGAATATTTCAAATATATTGGTATAATATTCTTTTGAGAACATAACTATCATGTCATAGAAACATTCTTTGAATGTGAGAATATACATTTCAAGCATATTTTTAGAATCAAACAAAAATATTCTTTTCAGGATGTACTGAGAATCTCATAGGTATATTCTAGAAATATCCTACAGGATTTCCCAGGAAGTTCTTGGGTATTGCAAACTATATTTCTACAATCTTTTCTCAGAACATTCTCAGGACATTCGCAATGGTTCTGGCGAACATTCTAGGCACATTCCTCCTAAAAAAAGAAAATTCCCATTATATTCTAAGGATGCAATTTTGTTATGTGGGTGGATGTAAGCTTGAGTTTTCTTGGTACCTAACAAATAAATGATTAAATCCTGGTCTTGTTCACCATATTTATTGAACAATAATGTTGACAAAGGCTCAAGAGTTAGTATATATCTAAAATGAGGGTATAAATAATACGGTTTTTCTATAGACCTCCACTCTTCAAAATATGTACTACTAATTACTAATACAGACAATACTGACTAACCAGGATCAAATAACATGCCTTGATATACATCAGACTCTTTATAATAATCAGATAAGACACACAGGTGATATTATTATCACAAAGACAAGAAGCTTCTTCAGCATGAAACTGAGATATTATGCATGACAAGAAAATTTGACAATAGAGTAGAATGATATGATATGATATAATACATGACTGACGTAGTGACATGAATATAGTCACAAGTCTTAACATTTTGGCTAATTATTAAAAAAATTACAACTCAACGACTAAGGAAACAAAGTAAAATGCAAGATTATCAAGAGCCAACCAACCACCTAGAATCTGCCAAATAATTTGACCGTCACCATTATCATCCAATTCGTCCGTATTATCACCCGCACACCAGGCCATCTCAATTTTTTCCGCTAGAGAAGAACAAATCATCAATGTTAAAAGTATTCGGTATTTCTTAAACCCCACAAGGCGGGGCGGACAAATCCTTCGGCAAGCTTCGGACGAGCTTTCGCCAACGTTCGACCCCCGAAAGCTCATGAAGCTTTTGACTGTTCATACACTGCAGCAAGGAAAAGCGCTAGGCGCTAGCTACTAGCTAGTCCTGATTCATTCGTCGTCGAGACCGGTCGGTTTACTTCCCGGTATTCAACGAACTTTACGATCGTGTCTCTATATCGGGCGTGATTTTGTATTTGAAAAAATAAATTTCGAAATTTTAGTGAATTTAAGTGAAAAATCCATGAAATGAACATTAGATAGCGTTTTGTGAAAGCAATTTTGGCCAAACCCCCTAACCGGAAACTTATAATGTTTGTGATTGCCTAAAATTATCGTAAAGCTCCATCATGATTTTCGAAGTGTTCTTTATTCCCTTTATTCTTCTCATAGCAATTTTTCAATCTTCAATTGCTAACACCGAAATATCACCGACAGATTCTTCAAGTGCTCTAAGATACGAAGCTCCCGACGATTGTCAGTGGTTGGTGAGAGACCCTACAACTTCTACTGGCCAAGATGAAGTTGCACTCACTTGCAACTTAAGAACGATAAATAGTGAATTTGACACTACGAATTTTAGTGTCATACCATCAGAGCATACAACATCTTTGAGAATTGAATGCAATGCTGATATAATGTCCAGATCAAGTTTGGATGATAAAAGCTTCGTACATTTAACAAAATTAAGAGCGTTGGAGTTGGAACATTGCAAATTAGCTCGCTGGCCTGCAGGTACTCTATTTGGCCTAAGAGATTTGAGAAATTTATCCGTGAGAACTCACAACACTGAATGGCCAGCAATGAACTTGGATTTTTCCAGAGAAAGTTTTTCACCAGTAAGACAATTGGAACGTTTGGATTTGTCTTGCAATAATATTTGGTCATTTCCAGAAAACATTTTTTGTCCTCTAATAAATTTAGTGTTTTTGAACGTAAGTGAAAATCGTCTACAAGATGTGAGTGATTTAGGATTTCGGGAAAAGGCTCCTGGACTACCACAACCATTAATAAGTGTTGCTGAAGACGAAGCTCCTCAGCCGGAAAATCCAAGGACACTTACGCACCCTTGTAGTTTGGACATTCAGGTACTGGACGCTTCTTTTAATCATTTCGTTCTTATTCCCGCTAATGGCTTTAGTGTTTTACGTAGACTGAAGGAATTTTACATTCATAATAACGAAATTAGTATGGTAGCCGATAAGGCTTTAAATGGACTAAAAGCATTGCAAATTTTCGATTTATCTAACAACAAGGTCGTAGCCTTACCTAGTGAACTTTTCAAAGACTGCCGCGAATCTATAAAAGAAATTTATTTGCAAAATAATTCTATTAGTGTTTTGGCCCCAGGATTATTTGCTAATTTAGAGCAGTTGCTAGCCCTGGACATTTCCAAAAATTTGCTTACAAGTTCGTGGATAAATGCAGACACGTTTTCCGGTCTAATTCGACTAGTGCTTCTAAATTTATCGCATAATCGTATATCCAAATTGGATCCATCGTTCTTCCGAGATTTATACACGCTACAAATCCTGAATTTGGAACATAATTCTCTAGAAACCATTCCAGCCGACACTTTCGCCCCTATGAATAATTTACATACTTTAATAATCTCTTATAACAAAATTACCTATTTGGACGCATATTCTTTAAATGGGCTCTATGTTTTGTCTTTATTGGCTTTAGATAATAATGTACTCGAAGGAATTCACCCAGAGGCTTTCAGAAATTGCTCTAGTTTGCAAGATCTTAATTTGAACAGTAATCAGCTGAAAGCTGTCCCTTTGGCCCTAAAAGACATGCGGCTTCTAAGAACAGTCGATTTAGGAGAGAATCTGATTACGTATCTGGAAGAACCAGGATTCAGGGGCTTAAGTAATTTATACGGCTTGAGAATGTTAGGAAATAGGATCCAGAATGTTAGCAAAAGAGCGTTCGCTGATTTACCAGCCCTACAAATCTTAAATTTGGCTAAAAATAAAGTTCAACGTATCGAACATGGATCGTTTTCTAATAGTCCCAATTTACAAGCTATCAGACTGGATTCCAATCAATTAACTGACGTAAATGGGTTATTTGCTGATATTCAAAGTCTTCTATGGTTGAATGTATCAGACAATCAATTGGAGTGGTTTGATTATGCTCTTATTCCCCAGGGCTTACAATGGCTGGATTTACACAAAAATAATATCAGAGAATTGGGTAACCGATACAATTTAGATTATGAATTGAGGCTGGAACAACTGGATGCTAGTTTTAACAAAATCTCGAAAATTAGCGCTAATTCGGTACCCAGCAGCATTGAATTATTGTTTTTAAATGACAATTTAATCAGTATTGTTGAACCGCATACTTTTATTAAAAAGACAAACCTAAGTCGAGTCGATTTATATGCCAATCAAATTGGCAGTATGGATTTAAATGCTTTAAGACTCACTCCTGTGGACCCAGAAAAACCATTACCTGAATTTTATATCGGAGGCAACCCTTTTCAATGTGACTGTACCATGGAGTGGTTGCAGAGAATCAATAAATTAGATCATTTACGGCAACATCCCAAAGTAATGGATCTAGAAAGCATTTATTGCAAATTATTATATAACAGAGAGAATAATTACATGCCTTTGGTTGATGTAGAATCCTCTCAATTTTTGTGCACCTATAAAACCCATTGTTTTGCTCTTTGTCACTGCTGCGACTTTGATGCCTGTGACTGTGAAATGACTTGCCCAAATAACTGCACATGCTATCACGATCAACTTTGGAGTGCCAACGTAGTGGAATGTTCAAATGTCGGCTTCACAGAAATGCCAAACACCATCCCCATGGACGCTAGTGAAGTTTATTTGGACGGCAACAATTTCGGAGAGCTTTCCAGACACTCGTTTATCGCCCGCAAGAATTTGAGGGTTTTGTACGCGAACAATTCAAACATCGCCGCGATTTATAACCACACATTCAGAGAGTTGAGGCGGTTGTCGATTTTGCATCTCGAACATAATCGGATCAAAGAATTGCTAGGGTTTGAGCTGGCTACTTTGGAATCCCTCCGAGAGCTTTACTTGCAAGGAAATTTGATACATTATATTGACAATAGAACGTTCTTGGAGCTTAAACAATTGGAAGTTTTGAGGCTAGACGAAAATAGATTGTATAGCTTTGAAGTTTGGCAACTATCCTTAAATCCTTACTTAGTGGAAATTGGCCTGGCATATAACCAATGGTCTTGTGACTGTGGATACGTTACGAAATATAAATCCTGGCTCAAGCAGAACTATGGGAAAGTCGTCGATGCTACCAGAATAACATGTGTAGTTAACAATGCTACAAATTTATTAGGCCCAAAAATGTCAGACTTTAATTCTTCCAAGTGTCTCCATATTTTTTCCGATGGTAATCATGCCATAGTTGAACAACAAGTTATGAACGATTATCTTCCATTACTCCTAGGAACAATGTGCTTGTTTATTGCGAGCGTTGTGATAGTTTGCGGGGGTTTTTACTACAGGCGAGAGCTACGAGTGTGGATTTATTCGAGATGCGGTCTTAGAATGTGTTATAAAACTACCGCGTTTGACGAGCAACAAGACAAAGAAAGACTCTTTGATGCGTACGTAAGTTACAGCGTCAAAGATGAAGCCTTCGTTAGTCAAGCTCTAGCTCCCAGTTTAGAAGGTGGTGATCCTTCCTATAGACTTTGTTTACATTATAGAGACTTTAATGTATCAGCGTATGTGGCAGATACAATCATTGAAGCTGTGGAATCTTCGAAAAGAACTATCATAGTGCTTTCTAAAAACTTTTTGCATAACGAATGGTGTCGGTTCGAATTCAAAAGTGCTCTACATGAGGTGCTTAAGGACAGACGTAAAAGACTTATTTTTATCGTAACTGGAGAACTACCTCCTAGGGATCTAGATCCCGACTTAAGACTTTATCTTAAGACAAATACTGTGATCGAGTGGGGCGACAGACAATTTTGGCAAAAGCTTCAATTTGCCATGCCCGACGTTCGAAGGCCTTGTATGCACCAAAGGTCTTCGGTGAACATTTACGCCACAGCAACTCCATCGCATTTGATGATGGATAGATCCAGGAGTCCGGCGTTACCACCGCCTCCACCCCCAGGCAAACTTCCGCCGTTTTTGCACCAAAATTCGTCGAGTTTGCCACGTGACTCGAGGACGATGCCGCATCCTTTGTGGGCGTAGCGGTTTACCTTTAGCAGGTAATTTTTTTTTCTTTGAATTTCAATTATGGTGAAGGTTGACTAATTATTAGGCAGTTGTGAATTGCATGCAGAGTAAATTATTTGTCCCCTGTAATGTAAAATTGGTTAATGAAATTTTTCAACTGGCATGCAAAGTAATTGAAAATTAATTTCTCTTGGCCTCATCTACAGGAAATCTTGAAACTTCTCTTCTCCATGTAAGGACTTTTATTTTAAAAACGAGGTATCTGATATGCAGTTTTAATTAAAGCTCTAGGTAAGTCAATAACCGGTTAGCTACCTAAACCATTAAAAGCAGGCAGTCTAATGCTTTAAAATATATAGCAAAGCCGGAAAACGAGTTGGTTTTAATAGAGAAAAAAAATTATTGAAAATACTGAGATTAATAATAGCTATGCCTACAGCAGTAATTGGATATCGATGATCCAGTTTTTGATTGAAAAAAATCCACATCATCGGCAAAAACGCTATTGATAGCCGTTATTAGCTTGAACTTTTATTAAAATCTGATTCCTTTTTTTTTTAATGCAATGGTGATTTATTATTATGAAGAGAGTATAACTATTTTGTCGATATGGTGTTACAAGAAGGCGACTTTTCGTAGTTTTCTTTATTTTTGATTTTCTGTAACTTTTTGTTCTATTTTTTGTAATATTTCGATTTTTTTTGTCAACTTTGAAGTTCAAGTTTTAGATAAATGACTGAAAACTTGGTCTATTTAGAAAATCTTACTAACCAAAAATCAGAAAAAATTAAATACTGAGTTAATATTTTTATTCGATATAATTTACATCATAAATACATTATCGGGTAGCAATAATTAGCCCTAGCCGTCCCAAAATAATTTTGAAATTTGGGCTCTTATAACAGGGTCAAAATGGACCCAGATACAAACCTTCTTTTGAGTGATTTTGAATATAAAATTTTGGGAATCATAATAAATTATATTTTTGTACAACCGTCCGCGAAATGAGCTTTCGCGGCCGCTACACAGGCCGCGAAGTTCACACCTGACGTGCAAAATGTGTCAAATCATGATGCAATTTTTCTGTTACGGCCACGGCGATAACATTTCTCTACGTACGCTAAAAAGGTATTTCGCGACCTTGGTATACAAATAACTATTTTATATTATGCTTTAATTTCATAACGTAAAAAAAAAACAACAAAATAAACTTCTGATTCATAAGATAAGTAAATAGAAAACTGAAGCACAAAACTAGAAATTCCGAATACACGTAAGAAAAGCTTGCTACGACTTGTCGAGTTGGAGGGTTTCAGCGTATACTCACCGATTTATCCCAAAACCACGGGTCATTGGTGGCCCATATTGAAAGTTTTCTGGGGAAAAATAGTTTTTTTGAAAAAATTATACAAAAGGCAATACCTATTCTTGACATAAATTAGGAGAATTCACAGAAGATCTCTGAAAAAAAGTCGCAGGGCCGCAAGATATTCCTGGAAAATCAGATTTCGGGTTTTCGCTGACCCACTTTTGTTCTATTTGGGGACTTCAAAAACATCGTTTTAAAACATAATACAATATTTCTTCCCTCATACAAATTCCTGGTTCTGATGTTCCAATGTTTCTTCTTATTTCTCTCAGCCCCAATTTATACACTCCCTCTTCCAGATCTTCCCACTTTTCTGTTAAGTGTTGTCTGTATCCAGTTCCTTCCAGCCTATTCCCTGGGTCTTCTCGAGTCTTCCAACTCTTCTCTTGGTCTCTCTTAGTCGTCTCACTACGAAATTGTTATTTTGTTTTTCCCTGCTGCACTTTATGGTCAGCCCATTGCCACTTCAACTATGCTGTTTCTTCCGATCTCGTGATCTGGCATTAGATCTCTCACACTTGAACTTGATCTGTAGAGATTGGTATTCCATTTTATCCTAGAATGAACCCAAAGCGCCCAACAGAGAAGTTTTCTTCGCGAAATTTCGGCTTTTTGATTTTCTTTGCATAATTTAATTTCATATCCAAAGAATTCTAATACATTTTCCATGGTTTCGGTTTTATTTTAATTAAAGACTTTCTATTTTACCCAAGTTCATTTGTATTCTGATTTGAGGCCAACATGAATAACTTCGGAAAAATCAATTGAAATTTTTTTTATTCGGTCCTTCAACTTTTCTCTGTTGTTGGAAATTTTCGTTTGATTAGAAATCTGTTCAATTCCTTCCACCTTAGTGCAATATTCAACATTGCTCTAATGATTCGGAGTTTGCCAAGAGTATATCAAAACAACTTAATAACATCCCAACATATGTCTTTATCATTGATGATGATATCGGGTCTTCAAAAAAAAACCAATCAAAGATTGCTATGGTTTTTTAAACGTTTGTCTTAGCATAATTTTCCTTCAATTTTTTCAATGAACTTCAAGGTCAAAATGTCATGTCAAAAAACCTGACCAATGAAGAAACAATAAGGCGACGTACGTTTTCGTAATCAAAGCAATCTTCAATTGGTTTTTTTTTGAAGACCCGATATGATATAGGTAATCTCGAGGGTAATCTATTTAATTTTTCAATATGAAGTACCTAACAAACAAGTATTGTCCTATGATCAAGTTTCCCACCTCTCCCGTATATTGTCCCATTTTTAAGGCTAAGGCTATTTTAAATTATTTATGTATCCACAAAGTTTTCATGTTTTATATATTTTTTGGGATCCAAATCCCTAACACACACAATCTTTATAAAGGGGAAAAAAATATATATTCTACACTTTTTCACTCGCCATAAATAAAAGTCATCTCCAATACATTTTTCATCAAGTGGAGAGCTCATTCTCATATTTTCTTATGTGAGGACACTTCTTTATCATCCTTTCTTACACACAAACTCTTAAGGACAGGCTAAATTGGTCGATACACCCTTTTTTCCGCCAGCCCCAGAGGCCAGCAACTTTATGACCAATTTCAATCTGATACCGCTCCCAGCCATAAATAAGATTTTTATCGTTTTTTAAAAAAGCGATCACATTCCGTGTCTCCCTGCTCTGGCTCTGCTTTTTCAGGCAGTGACAACTGTCGTTAGAAGATGATGGAATAATGAGGGGTATTAAAAAATAGATCTACTTTTCTCCTTCAAAGTGGTAGCGATGAAAAAATTTTAACTGGAATTTTAGGGTAAAGAAATGTCAGACCTAATCATTAATTTTAAATTATCTTGATCTTGAGAGGATAAAAAAATCTAAAACTATTATTTTGAAGACATAACCAGCTACTTCAATGTAGGAGGCAAATTTTATGTTCGAAATATGATATGATATTAGGATTATTTAAATCCAACATCGAAAAACTCTATTGTATAAACCATCTTCAAACCCCACATAAAAATGTTGAAACAACACCACAAACAGTTATCCTCTCAGTTTTCCGTATCAAAATACACTAATCCAAATATTTATATCAACAAAAATTATGGCCAGAAAAAGTACTAAAAAACCCAGTGGTAGGTGATTTCATAACGCGTTTCAAAACCAAGCTATCCCTATGGGGTCAGTGTTTTTATTCCAAACACAATAGCCGTGTACTGTCCAAATATTAAATAGAGACGCATACATACAAAGCATAATTTATTTTAAATATGACTCCGTGACAGGGTACAAAATTTCACAGAGTTTTATTCGGGATGTGATTTATGCATAATAAGGCCTTTATGTTTGCCTACCCCATGTAAAATGAGCCCAGTGATATGTGCTTGGAAGTTTACTGAGCGGGATTAAAATAAACTAGCTTTTGGAGGTTTGTTTTACTAAACGGTTTTTACTTGGGGTGGAGTGTTTACGTGCAAGAAAAGTGCAGTGGAAATAATAGGATAAAATGGAAAGTTTAAGAAGCTTTATCATAATATTTCATAAATTTGTGAAAAAAAAAATTTGCTATTCGAATAACAACTTAAATTCAAAACGTTTTTCGAACTGTGAAATAATATTCGTTTCCAATGGAGTAGTCTCGTATTTTCCTAAGACGCTTTCCCGGCGTTGTTCCATTCGGGTTATTGAGTTTTCTACATAATTCTTTCCTTTTCGCTTGCGGAAGGCGCGAAGCTACAGGACATTATTATGCCTGTCCGGGATAGAAACAACTCCCAAAGAAGAAACGGCAAGGACGTAGTGGGCTGTAATATCGACGAGGTCCGTCAAACTGATAGGGTGTTTTTTTTCTCACCTCTACTTGTCGATTTAGAAATGGGCCTTTTTTTGTCGATTTTGTATAAATATAATATATTCGGTTTTCGTCTCTGATTATTCTTATATTTAAGAATCTTCCTCCTATTTATTTCGAGATTTATTATTTTCAGTAACATTTCTGGTTAATTTGGCTGATAAACAGGAAGCAACCCTTGTTCGGATATTGGATAACAATTCCATCTCTCAGCTCATTTCTTATTGTTTGGTGACTCGCGAAATGACCAAAACCAAAAGTCCCATGCCCCAAGATCACAGGATCTTGGTGGCCAATTCTGGTTGCTATCGCGGGAGATAACAATGAGGGTGCGCACCGCAGGCGGAAATTTTTTTTTGGGCCACTCCCAAATTTTGCTAATTGTAACTAATATAATAAACATTAAAAAATAAAACAATTTGGAAATACTTTTATTTCGGACGGGAAAATAAGTTAATTCTCAGTATCTTTTGATAGGTGCACAAATTACTTTTCCTAGTGGGAAATTTTTTTAAAAAAATTGTAATCAAAACTAAAACAACACAACGTAAATGAAATATTCCAAATTAAAAAAAATACATTTTTCCGACTAGGTAAATGCAAATTGCATTCTACTTGAGTCTCTCCCAAACCTATTAATAACTTCTTTTATTTGATTAGATGAATTTACTTCATCTTAAATAATTACTTACCTCTCACTTCACTCTTAGCTTTAGCTATGCTTCAACCCATCAACTTAATTCAAATATCTAAATAAACACACAATGCAATGTGAGATGTAATTCAATAAATTTAAAAAATCCTCAGCTTCAGCAGATAAAAAAA